CGGCTTCCTCCGCAGCGGCAAAAACTTTTTTCCGCGAAACCCTTGTGGAAGGGGCTAAAACAAACGGTCGTAACTTTGTCAAATGACGTCTGATTTCATTGATTTTGGTGTCATTCGACTCAGCTCGATGAGCTCTTTCGAATGAGGTATAATTTGCATATTCGAATTTTTCACCCCCAGAAATCAGCTTGGTCCCCCCTATCGTTTTTTGAACTTTAGGGGTCTGTAACTCGGCTCAGAATTTTTTCCGCTGAAAAATTTTGGTGTCATCCAACTCAGCTCGACGAGCTCTTTCGAATGACATATAAATCGTCCAATTCTGAGCCTGGTACGGAAACTGTAGTTTAGCCTTTATTTTTTTGTTTCTACTCATTTCTGACCATTAATAATAATTTTATCAAAAAAATGCTGATCATGCAAAGCTTTTTTGGCCAAAATTTTTTTTATTTTCTGTAAAAGACCCTCACAAACTAGCACCAAAAACAACCACCAAAAACGTCTTTTTCTTCTTCCTTTTTTCTTCCGCAAACACCGCGCCCGTGATGACTTTCCCGCTAAAAACATAAAAAAATTTCTGTTTGTCCAGCAAACATTCTCGGGGTTAGGAAGAAAATGCTTCAAAATAGCGTCTAATAAAAAGCCGTAACCTTCGTACCGGACAATTTTTTTTTTTTAAATTTTTTTGTAGTTGAGTTTTTGATCATGGTCAACGACCTATTCTTGACAAAAAATTATTATTTTTTTATTAAAAATATTTTTATTTTACATAAATTTTGCATAAATTTATATTACATTTTTTAAATATTTTTCTGAAATTCTTCTGTTATTCTTAATCTTTCTTTTCTATGACTAACCTGTAATTCTCAAAAATTTCAAGAATTTGACCTTAAATGTGCAAATTGGAGTTTTGTTGCTGCAAGCTTTGGGCCTCAAATTAGGAGGTTTTTATTGATTTACAAGGCTAAACCATTGGGCTAAACCATTTTCAAGACTAAACCATTGGAAACACCGAAGCTCTGATAAAGCCTATTTCTCTTCAAAATGCCTTGGGGTTGGGTCAAAGCCCGGCCCTAGTTCGAATTCTATATAAACATTGAAATCACGACCTTCTACCTCCTGAAAACCCCGAAACCATTAAAAACCTGTAAAGCCTAATTTTCTCCAAAATGCCAGGGCTTTGATCAGGGCCTGAAATTGCCAGGTCAAATCTCTTCCCTATTTTGTTTCAAATTCTTTCCAGACAAGTCAACCTTAGTTTAAAAATATAAAAGTATAATTTTGCCTCAACCATTTATTTTCATTTTTATATTAAAAAATAAATCTCCAAAAGATACCTTTCATGTGCAAAAATAGTACATACATTTAAAAGAATATGCCCTCATAGGGCAGTTTCCATAATTAACGGATTAATAAAAACAAAAACAAGGCAGGAAGTTGAGGCAGGAATTTATAAATAAATATTTGTATTATTATTTGCCTATTTTTCTCTTCAAGTCTTCATTTAATTCTTTCATATACATTTAAATATTTTGTAATAAATTTTCAAAAATATAGACGGACTCACTATGAAATAAACCCAATACTAAAAACCTTCAATTCAAGGTCCCTTTTTAATATTTTCCACAAGTGTTTGGGTCCGTAAATGTCGTACCAACAAATACAGGGTGGAAGGAGCTGCCTAACCGATACCTCCAATTTATGGCCACCTCATTATAGGATACAATTTCGGGCCCAAGATGTGTCTTATTATGAGGTCTGACTGTATTTATCTAATTTCAACCAGGGATCTTCGGATCTGATAAAAATCCAGATATCCTGAAATCTTTGGTTATCCAAAACCGGATATCCGGGGATCTCCCAAGATCCGCAAACTCGGAACCCGAATTTTTTCTCTCGACCCGAACTCGATACGCAGAAAATTTTGGAAAACCGACCCGAACTCCAACTTCTCAACTATTCAATTCCAACCTTCAAAAAATTTGACTTTTTCTCTAAATTAAATTGTCTATCCAAGTCTCCTCTAAAATTTTTTAAAAATCTATATAGCTATCGCTTCCCAAATTCTATCGCGCACTGAAGAATTGCCTTTTTCTTTTAAAAATCCAATAGGGCTAGAATGCATGGGCAGGCATGCGCATGCCTCCTGTAATTTTATAAGTGAATGGAGAGAGGGAGAGAGGGGTGATTGGAGAGGAGAGACTGGCATTTTCTTTTTCTTCTTGCCTTCCCAGGCTATTTTAAGAGTTCAATCAACATAAATGAGTAAAACACAATTTGGCCAGCAGCGCATTTTATCACCCCCTCTCTCCCCATCTATCGCCCACCACCTCCAATTCCTCCTCCTACTCGTTTATTGTCTTTCTCCCCCCCCCCTCCCTGCCTTCAATCGGGCATTGCCAAATTAGAAAATTCAATATATTCTTTCTTCAATTATATTCAATTTTATTTAAAATTTTTATTTTATTTTTATTTAAAGTCAGGCCTTGCTATAAGATACCCCCTTGGAGCTGGAAACTCGAATACCCTCCTTGGAGCTGAAAATCGTATTCTGTAATGGGGTGTTTATTAAATAGAGGGGTACTTCTTAGTCTGCCTTCTACACTGACTGAACGGCCAGGTTTAAAAAACCTCGTCAGATTTTGCTAAGATGATTCCCTATACATCTTATTATCTACCCTAATTTATGAATACCCTTATTGTGTTCATGTTCTGGAAACATTCATTGTATGGTAGAGGAACCATCGTAAAATGATGAGTCCACACCGAAGCACACCCAACTTTTCCATCACCACTCAGAGAATGACGGGTTACTCTAAACCCCAGTCCGAAGCAAGTTATGAATACTTTCCTAACCCGTCCCACTCCTACAGCTAACCCGAGATAGTAGATTCTATGGGTTCCTGTTCGGGTTATGGGTTCATGGATTGAGTTATGGGTTCCTTCTAATTCCTTCTCCAAGTACGGACACAACAATAAACAGAACAATAAATTTTCAACCCAAGGGATATTTTATAGCGAGGTCAGACTTATAGCAAAAATTAAATTTATTTATTTTTTAATTTATTTATTTCAAAATTTCCTTGCACTTTATATTTTTCACTTTGATTGAAATAAATCGACTGTGTCGGGATTCCGGCAAAATTCAAAATGCCCTTTTCTGTTTTCATTTGCACTTTCTTGTATTTTCTCGTGCCATCTTTTTATTTTTAAATTTTTTTTATTCTTTTGCCGAAACTTTAAAAAAACTTTAAAAGTTGCACTTGTAAAGTGCCTTCCTTTCTTATGACCGTCTATGTTGTTGTTATTGTTGGACTTTTTTTTAAAAACATAAAAACACGTGAATTTATGTTGTTAAGGAAACTTATAAAGTTAAAATCACAATTAGTTTCTTAGAAAATTTATAAAATATTTACAAAAAAATTAATATTAAAGGAAGTCGAATGGCAAGGCCCAGTCGAATGGCAAGGCCCTTCCTTCTTGTACACCCTATAGGCAGTAAAAAACGTACACTATACAGAGGTGTACACAATCCTGTCTTATTGCTTAGGAGGGTCGAACATTTCTGGAACTAGTTTCGGTTACTGACGAACATGTTTGGGTCTCTGGGTCCTGTCCGGAATCGAACTCTGCCTCTAAAACCTAAATCCGAACCACTTATCCACAAGTCACTTTTTCAAATGTCTCGCTGTCCACCTCCAATTTCCAGTTGTTTACCCGCCAAAAAACAACATCAACAACAAATTTCAACATACTTCATCTTGCGTAATTCCCCAGATTTAAAATGTCAAAGCACTTTGAAGCTAAAAAAGGAATTACTAGGCATATTTGGCTCGCTTTTTATTTTATAAAATATCCAAAAACAACAAAACATTCCTTGGGTAAAAAGGAATTTTAACGGCTTCATTCATAAATTGTCTTTTGTCATCTCAATTTGTAGTCATCGTCATTAAAAAGATTTATTTTTTATTATAGAATTAAAAACCCAAAAAGTATTTTCGAGATATTTTGAAATTCTTAGAAAGTTCAATTTTTCGTTGAACGGGAACTAAGAGGGATATCGAGTGATTAATTTCTAGCCGTCTAGATCCCTCTTAAACTCCCCCCCCCCAATTTTACTCCCTTTTCGACCCCCCTTCAGCAACTTTTAATCTTCGTATATACATCAATATCACTCTTAATCCCTATCTATCCCTATTAATACCTTGATGCCCCTCTATTTATCTATACTGGGATTTTTTGTAAGGTTTTTTTTTTAAATTTAGCCTATCTCAATAATGGTTTAATTTAAATTTATCTTTTCCCTTATAAAATATCTTTTCAATTGTTGTGTTTTACTCAAACATTTAATATTTAACTCGAGATAATTTTCATATTTTATTTGTCTATATTTTGCAGTTAAAATTTTATTTATTTTTTGAATATGTCTGTTCAGTTTTTTATTACAGTTTTTTGATCTTCTATTTAGAATAACAAAAAATAATTTTAAATAACAAAACTTAGAGACATTCCAATTTAACAAAAACCTCTTATTTTGTTGCAAAATTTTTATGGTTTTTTATTTTGGTTATTCTTTGGGTCCCCCAATTTCCGTTGTTCTTTCCTTCCCGTTGCTTAACCCGCAACTTGAATTCATGATGCTCAGCCCTCTAAATCAGAGAGTCTCTCTAAATAGCAGAGGGCCGTTCAATTGGAAAGGACCGTTCAATTGGAGTGGGTCGTTCAATTGGAGAGAGCCGGATTTTATAGACCTTATGGGATCCTTTCCCTAACTTTAAAAGACCATCAACTCATTACCACTCTTCGCCATTCCCCCTAAATTAATTTTTCAACAACCATCATTATTCCCATTCTCCAGTAGGAAGGCCCTCTCAATCACTTTGAATTACCGTAATCAACGTCTCTTCTATTTATTTCTTCCCGATTACATAATAAGGGCAATGCACTCTTCCCATTTTTGTGTTTTCAAATTTTAAATACACAAAACACAACCTATAGACACGTTTATTATTAAAGTGCATGCTTCTTTACGATTTACATCAATTCTGCCCTTTTTCTTTAAAAAATGCCGCTTGCGCTTCCTCCTCTCAAAATACAAAAACTCCAGTCAGGCATTTCTACATTTATTTATCTTGCCCTTTACTTGCCCTTTATGGCTATATACAGTCAGATTTTATAAGATACCCCCTAATCTCTTTAAAAATTGTCGCTTTTAATGAGGTGTATATTAAATAGAGGTTAATGGTTATACAGCTCTTTCACCCAACAGTCAGAATCTAAAGAACCGTATCTTAAATAGAGGGGTATCTAACAAGGCTGGGCTGAATGACGTTTTGGCGCTATTTTTGGCGTTTTGTCGTTTGGCGTTTCTTAAAAATTTGAAAATTTGAGTTGAAAATTTGAAAATTTGAGGTCCCCCCCCCTCCATTTTTGGCGCACAGCCCTGCTATCTGATATAAATAAGTTATTATATCGAAGGTGTATATTAAATAGAGGTCCAACCCTTGGCCATATCTATTTTCTTCAAAAAAATTTTTCCCCAATTTTCTCTTTCAACTGATCGTCCTCTTTTGGTGACAGCCTCTACCTCCCTATATGCTTTACACTCTCTTTTCCTCTTTTTAATTAAGCAACATTTTCTTTTATTTTTTTATTTACAAATCACTAGGCCTGCGCAACATGCCCTTTTAACGTTTGTGAATTTTTTTTATTTCCAAAATATTTTATTTTTCATTTTTAATATTCTCTAGTCTTTATTTAATGCTTTTATTTTGTTATTTTTTTTATTTTTTAAAAATTTAAATAAAGTCTTTCCTCATTAACTTATTTAAATAAAGTCCTTAGGACTGGAAACCCTAGGACTGGAAAGATTGTCTCTTATAATAAGGTGTACACTAAATAGAATGTATATTGCTTAGACTGCTCCTCCACCCAGCGTATCTTGAAATCAGGTATGCCTAGTATTGAGTGTAACTTATAATGAGGTTTCTGTATGTGTCATTAAGTAGATGTCGTATTAATGAGATTAGGTCGTATTAATGAGATTACTCATATTTAAAGGATTGTATCTCAAATTGAGGCATTCTTATAATGAGAGTATCTTATGATGGAAGTTTCTTATAATGAGTTGTCTTCAATAATTAGAGGTAGATATCATAAATAAACACTCCCCTTAGGTACCCAAATTTTAAGAGAGCATATGTTAAATAGAGGTGTACCAGCTATTGTTTGGATATTTAGTAATGATATCCGATTGTATTTTACTTAGTCCTATTCAATACTTTTCTAAAATTATTTTCATTAAAAAATGACCAAAATAGCTGAACTAAATACATTTATTAAAAGAAATTTGTCAGATTTCTCATTCAAAAAATTTAATAATTCTTTTAGCTTTTGTCGTGCAAATTTTCAGCCAGTTTACAAAAGAAAATTTGCTTTCAGCCTAAAAATGGGGGTTTTCAACACATTGACCCAGGCGCGATTTTTTTTATTTTATTTTATTAAAAAGGAATGGACCTCTCTAAAGCTTTTTATTTTGAATGAGACGTTTTTGGCTAAATTTATTTTTCCTCCTTATTAAAATTAATCTTCCCCTTTTTTATTTGACTGATTTAAAAGGAGATATTCTTTAGTTTCTGGGCTATTTAATTCTTAAGGCTATGCAGGAGGCGACATGGTGTTAGTAGGGTTGCTATTTTCGAGTTGTTTTTATCGAGTCGGGCCGTACGAGTAACTTTCGGACCAGATATCTTAGGCCCGCTCGATCTTTCGTTCCGAGTTGGTCCATTTTGGCAACACTAATTAATAAAAGCTAGCTCCGAAAAAAATAAAGCCAGTTCCGGAAGCTAGCTTTGAAGCCGACTCTAGCCGGAGCCGTAGCCCATCCTGGCACTGGAGCAGGTTCTAGGATTTAAAAGGTCGCGAAAAAGTCGTGAGAAATGAAATATGGCCACAAAGTGCCTACTAGTTACATTAGCACTGTACATCAGACCGGTTTACAGACCGGCCATCAGAACCGCTCCCAAGGGCCTAACCTTTGCTATAACTGATGTAGAAGCATATAGCTCAAGTGTCAGTCAGCTTTATTGCACTTTTAAGGGTTTCAAAAATTTCGTAAACTTGGATAAGGAAGATTACAAGTAAGTTTACACTAGAAACGAAAAAAGAAAGGGGAGATTATTAGTATTAAATAGATGATGAATATTTTTTAAATAAACTTGTTAGTCTCTAAAATATTTTTAATATTAAAATTTATATAAGCGGATTAATGCCAAGTTTAGAAATTTTCTGGAATATGTGGGATTTTAAGGAATGTAAGAGACTTTATGGACTTTAAATTGAAGATAATAAATTAATAATTGACGTAAACAAGGACAAATATGGATAACTAGGGAAAACAGCCTCAAACTTGTTAGTCTTTAAAGTTAGTCTCTAAACAGTCCTAAGCGAATATTCTGACCTCAGCACCTCAGGTACCTCTTGGATGTACACACTCAGGAAATTAATATATCAGGTGGGATATGATGAGGTGTATGAGGTGGTATATGATGAGGTGGGCCTTAAATTGGGCTATAACTTGAAGCTCTATATAACAACACCGAACAGCCTTGGGAAATCGTTGGACCTCTATATAGATACCGCTCAATATAAGACTCCCTTCGAACGACTACCTTATAATTAGGTTTACTTTAGGTTTAAAGTGGCTCCAAGGCTCTAGCTTGAGATCTCAGCTCGTCACTGTTCCCATATAAGAAACAAAGTGACGTGAGAAGGGAAGCGTGGGAGGAATAGGGGGATTTTGTCGTCAAAGACAAACTTTGTTTTAAATACGCAATTGATGGCATTATTAGAAAAAATATTTTCTTTGTTTAAAAATTAAATTCTGTCTTCTTTTATCCTCATTCCAGCATTCTTTTAATTTTTTCTACTTTTACAGTAACTTATATTATTATTTTAGTCATCCCATAGTGAAAATCCTTTTAATCTCCAACTGCTGAGCTAAGAATTGCTGAGCGACATTTGCGAACACCCAACTATAACTCTCTATATTAGCTTTAATTCTTAGTTTAGTCTTTTCTTGTGACTACTGTAGTTATACTAACAATAAGTAATGTACATACATCTAAAATAAAAATTTAGCTTAGGTTTTAGAGGACTCAGGGGCAATTTATTCCCATTTCAATAGGCTTTTAGTCATGTCCGCAAATGTCGTCATTCCAGTTATGTCCGCAAATGTCGTCATTCCAGTTATGTTCTCAAATGTCGTTCAACTGAAAATTAGTCTCTTTTGGGCTGAAGGATTTCTTACTGTAAATATTTTCCTTCATTAACTATTTTTGTCATTTTTTCTAATTTCTGAAGGAGTATTTACGTTATCTCTTCACTAATAGTTGTTCCGTTGACGTAAATCTTTTTATTATTTTTTAAAAGTAGAAGGTCATTTATTTGTCTACTATATTTTTAGTTTCCGCTAAGAGAGAGTTCTTCTGCTTTAATAATTTTTTAAAAATAATTCCTCCAATTAAAAATTTTGTTTGTTGTCGTTTCAACCCCCACACACTCATTTACGTCTATAAAGCGTTTAACAATCAAACTAAAAAATTGTTTTCATTAAAAAAATTTTTCTTCTCTTCAAGGGTAGTCAACCGGATAAAGTGTAAAATCCCCCTATAATTTGTCTGAAAAAATGAGTAAATGAATCATAGTTTTTACAAATTTTACTTTTTTTTTTTGCCTACAATTTTTCAGGTAAATTACTTTTAAAAGCACCCTTCTTTAATTCATAAAATGCAGCTAATCTTGTTTTTGTTTTCTTTGAGCCAATATTTTAATTAACTAAAATGTGTAAATATTGAGCCTCATATAATGAGCCAACTTAGCTCTTGATGTCATAAAAAATTTTACCTATTTTATGCCAAGGTGTATCTTTAATAAGCAATTGTTGCTTCAGGGATTTACAAACATCCAGACTTGATGTCTCCCCCGCTCGGCCTATGTACAATCGAACCTTGACTAGTATAAGATACCGCCCCAGGGGATATTGCTAACTAAATTTTGAAACAGAAAACTGAAGGTGAATACATGATGAACTTGAAAACGAAAGTAAGTGGAAGAGCCAAGAAGGAATCCGGATTAAGACGGTAGTACAATGTGGAAAGAAGCAACATCTCAAATACCATTCTCTTGGGATTGAAAAATCGGTTACAGCTCAAAACTAGTTGTAAAGCTTTTGGCCCTTATTAATTTTGGTATCAATCTCTTTAGCTCAATGAGAGCAATCTGTTTATCGCCATTATGGGCATGTCCCAAAGTATCCTTTAAGCAGGTTCCCCAGTCCCCATGGCCCTCACAACTTTTAGAAAAACGATCTTAAATTTCTTTAATCCGTACCGAGCAAAAGAATAAGTTCGCTGCATTACTGCGTAATTCATACCTAACAATGTGTATTACATCCTAAGAATTTTTATTATTTTTCTAATATTTTTTTCCATTTTCTTTTGGTTTCGTTGAAATTTTATTGTAAAGCTATAGTTTTGTTAAACGTTTATTTGGCTTCTTTTGCCCTTTTAAAATTTTTTATAAAAATATTTCTTTTTCTTTCAATTAGCCGTCCACTTCTCAGATTTTTTCTATCATTTATAAGCTCCAGTCAATTCACGCATTAATAATAATCCTTTAACGGTTTATGACAAAATACTTCCTCTTTCGTAGTTACCCTCAAAACCCAAACAATATTAATTACCTACAATTTTTTAATGAAAAATTCTTTTGAAATTCTTTTTTAAATTAAAATTATGACTAAATAAGAGCACTATAGGATGCACTAGGGAACCTGTCGAATTGGTTTTCGATATCGGGAATTTATTTTTTTATGTCGGCAGGATCTCTATGATGGCCTTTAAGGTTAGATGAATAGTACATATGTATACCGTATTTACTCTATTAGAGCCCCATGGGGTTCTATTTTTCAACCTTCCTCCAAACAGGGGCTATATTAAGGGGGGGCTCTAATACAGGCGGGGGCTCTATTTTCCAACCATGCTCAAAAAGGGGGCTTTATTAAGCAGGTAAACAAATTGGGAGGGGGGCTATAATAGAGGAAATAGTCCCCCTCCCAATCCACCTCTAATTGGGAGGGGGGCTATAATAAAGGAAATACGGTATGTAGTTGTCTATTAAATAGGAGGTAAATTTGCTTAGGCATGACTTTATTATTTGCCCTATAACCTGATCTTAAATCAAGCGGATTTTCTTAGTAAAGTCTGCCAGTATACTGCTCGCCAATGTTTCAGCCCAATTCCTATCATTCAGCCCAATTTCGATGTGTTTATTAAAATTCTATATTGAAATTAAACAATCAAAAAATGAAAATTTTTCTTTCTCTAGAAGATTTTCCATAAAATGACAAAATTTAACAAAAAATAATTTTATAACAATAAATTTAGCAAACAAAAGCATCGTCTTTACACAACCAATTTTTTAAACTTTTCTTACCTTCAAAAATAAAAATGAAATTTTTTTCAGTTCTTGAATGCATTAAATTTCATTTTTCTTTTCTCCTCAGCTGACCAAAAAAAATTTATTATTGAAGATTTTTTAACAATTTAGGAATTTGTGACAAATATATTTTTATTTTTGTTGGTTTTTAATGTTTTCTCGTATAACCAGTTTTGATTTTAGTTCCTCTAAAATTCCTTCAGATATATCCCCTGATATCCTTCAAAGCTCCCAGATATACGTCCAAAT